CTTAATAGTGGCTAGTTTCAATGCAGCAATAAAGGATTTTAAATCAATCATCCTATTTCCTCCTTCCCTGTAATCCTTTTTCATATTCCTCCTCTTAATCTTATCAGGTTTACCACTCCAGATAAAAGTGAAAAACATTTTCTCAATATCATCCACGAAACATTTAGGAGGATTAGGGAGTGATGTAAAAATGTGTACTAAAGTAGATACAGCCAAGGTTTTAATTACAGTTATCTTCCCAGTAATAGTCAACTTCCTTTTTCGCCAATTCCAAAGAATGTTTGATATAACTTTTAGCCTTTTCCTGGTGTTGATAACCCACAGGTCATTCAAATCAGCATTTAAAACAATACCCAAAACCTCAAAGTTCCCTAAGTGCCAGTCCAGGCCATATTCACTACATATTATATCATTACTGTTAGCCATAGCTCCAATCCACAGGGCTTTTGTCTTGTCTATATTTATTTTTAATCCTGACATGCGATAGAAGAGAGAAAGACTATCCATAGCAGCCTTTAGGCTGACATCGGAGCCCTCCAGAAAGAGCTGGGTGTCGTCAGCTAGTGACCTAGCTTATATTCCTTGCTATTCAAGATAGTACCCTTAATACTTACATTTGCACGAATCATGATACCTAGGATCTCTGCTACAAACACAAATAGATATGGCGAGATGGGGTCCCCCTGCCTACAGCCTCTATTATTAGGAAAGAATTCGGATAGATGTCCATTTTGGATAATGCAGGAGGTAGCATTTTTCGCTAGTATAGATATCCATTTCAGCATGTATGGACCAAATCCAAATTTTTGTAAAACCTTGCTAACAAATGTTTTTGAAACTGTGTCAAATGCTTTTTCAAAATCAATTAATAGTAAAAGGCCATTCTTATTTTGTTTTCTAGTTTCAAACATGATATCATATCACTCTGTTGTCAACGATAACCAGGTTTTAACATAATATAAATATCCTATAATAATTATAAGAATAATAATAATAATAATAAGAAGAAGAATAATAATGATAATAATAATTAATTACTCAACATGTAGGTAACCCCTGAGCTTGTTCCTGGAGTCATGTACTCCCCGACTTTTGTACCTATACTTTCACACTCTGAAAATTTGTTGCCAATGTATAACCAGCTCCAAGTGCCTTACCTATGGAGTTTGCAACTGGAGTAGTGTACTCCCTGATTGTGTATACCTATATTATCACACTTCGAAATTAGTCAATCTTTGCTGCTGATGTATAACTAGCTCGAGCATGCCTGTAACCCACGGAGTCTGTTGCTGGAGTGGTGCACTCCCTGACTTTGTGTACCTATGTTTCCACACTTCGAAATTGGTAAATCTCTGTTGCTAATGTATAACTAGCTCTTACATGCCTGTAACCCATGAAGTTTGCTGCTGGAGTCGTGCACTCTCGGACTCTGTATACTAGTAACTATATGTTCTTACTTTGAAAATTTGTAACTCTTTGTTACCAAAATGTAACCAGCCCTAACATGGAGTTGTGTACTCCCTGTCTTTGTATACCTATCTGAAATGAATAAAAATATTTAAAAAGAAAAAGTGACCCTTGTCAATAAAGCAGTATGTGAGTGAGTGAGTATAGTTTTACGCCGCTTTTAGCAATATTCCAGCAATACCACGGCGGGGGACACCAGAAATGGGCTTCACACATCGTGTCCCATGTGGGGAATCGAACCTGGGTCTTCGGCGTGACGAGCGAACGCCTGAATCACTAGGCACACACACACACACACACACACACACACACACACACGAATCATCCTTGAATATCCGCCGAAACAGATTTCACCGGGCTGGGGTCGCGGGAAGGGCAAAACATCGGTGAAAAATATATGACCTGATCGCCACTTTGTGGTGATACAAAGTGAAAAGGGTATACATATCCTGCCCTGTAGATCGCACCCGCCACACACCTTATTTGCATAAATTAAGTAAACATTCCTGATATATTTGTTTCCGTAGGTGACACAACATTGTTCTAAGTTCTACCATTAACGTTCTTGGAAAGGACTTTACAGAGTGGACTAATATTTAGGCTCTCTGAATTGTCTGCTCCTCGCGCCCCGAGAGGTGGATCGATACCTAAACGATCAGTCGCTGATTTCATTGGTCCAGACTCGAACATCATCCACATTGGCATTTATTCTGCTTTCAGACGAGGAGGGGATCCTCAAAAACCTTTTGGAACATTCATTTTCTACCACGGGTACAAATATATCGTAGTTGCCTTACCTATCTCATTAGGTATGCAGAACACAGTAACAGAGGTTTTACGATGACTCGTGTGTGAATGACAGCTACCATAGGAATAGAAAACACTCCTAGGTGCTAATGACATATTGTGTTTGGTCTGGGGAGCGACGGTTATACGTCATACACAATCCTTTCATAAAAAACCGGCAATCCCAGGTATGTTCAGAAAAAGTTAATACAACGCTAAAGGCCATTTTTCACACAATTATGACAAACTGAAACGTGAACAGTAAGTATATTCGTAATGTAAGAGTTAATGTAGCCCTTACTTATGTACATAGATTCAAAGTCTATTGTATTACACTTATAACATGGCAAGTTTGGCACTCTCTGTATGGACATTAACTCATAATATACTTACATTCGAGCTAACTCTACAGAACAGTGATAAAAGTGTATCAGCAGCTATATTAATTGTTAAAAATTAAACTATTTACATATATTTTTGCATCATATTCGTAATGGCAGGAGACATAGGTGTAGATACAGCACAACCAGAAATTATTGAGAATTTAAGAAGGTAATTTTATATATATTTTTCACTCATTACTCACGTATTAAATGTGAATATTAGCAGAACATAACTCCAGATTCAAAGACAGGTGAACAGTTAGTATTTTGTCAAGTCACCATGGGCAGCAATGCAGGCTTCAATGCTGCGGGGCATACTACTGATCAAAGAAGTTAGAAAGTCGTGGTCCATGCTGTCCCAATATCGGACCACCTCTTCTTTCATTTCAGCAATATTTGTCAGATTTTTCTTATTGACACTTTCATAAGTCCCCAAACATTTTCTATTGGAATTAGGTCAGGGCTATAGCTTGGCCAATCTAATAATGTCATATTTTGGGTCCGAAAGCAGGCCTGTGAATGCTTTGAACGATGTTTTGGGTCGTTGTCCTGCTGGAAAATCCAAACATTTCCATAGAACACGTGAGCAGATGGAAGTAAATGTCCCTCGAGAATATCTGTGTACCGCTCACTGTTCATATTCCCTTCAAATACACAGAGGGGCGTTGCCCCTAACACAGATATGCCACCCCACACGTTAAATTTCGGACTGTACTTTGGGCGCTGATACAAAGGTTTTTCAGTTTGTTTGGTCCAGAATTTCAGTGTATTAGGAAACAGCCACACAGAACTTTCATCTGAGAAAATCACATTGTCCCAGTTAATATTTCTATGCTGTAAGTACCAGTTCAACCTTCGCTCCTTTTGTTCAGGTTTCATGATCGGTGATGGACTTCCTCGACTTTTCTGCCAACCCATTGCATGCAGCTCAGTTCTAATTGTCTCCTTACAGACAGCCACAGTTCCTCTATCAATCATATCCAGCCTTAAGTTTTCTAAACTCCTTCGTTTGTTTTTAGAAACAAGAATACCAAGCCGCCTCCTGTCACCGACAGTCAATTTTCTGGGCCTACCTGCGCCTCCCTGGTGCTCAATGCCATATCCGTTCGCAATATTTTTCAAAACACGATAAACAGTGGGCAAAGGGATGCCTGTTCTAACCCGGACCTTCACGGGTCCAATTCGACAAGAAAGCAGAGAAGCAGAGCCTAAATTACAATGTTAACTGTGATCAAGCGTACGGAAAGGGTTACATTTGGCTATCCTAAAGGTTCTATCCTAAACCAGTATTACATTGCAACTTACCGCGATTCTCCTTCTATTAACAGTTCATACAAAGATAAGCTGCTAAACCAACAATCATAAGCAGAGGGAATCTAGGATTCGAACCCATGGTCATAGGATCCTGGACCGTTCACGGTACCAAACTCTGCACCGTTAACTGCGGGACATGAATCGACAGCGTCACGCGTGTGCCACCACAGCATGCCTACGTTGCTTCACGACATAATCTTTACTTTCCTCACAAGCGACAATGCATTGGTATCTACATAGGAAAGAAATTGGGCAAATAGTGCTCTCGTGCTCTGCGGCAGGTACCCGATAAGGCTGTGCACATTTGTCAAGATAAACCGACACCCTGACAGGTTTATCTCGGAGGGTCTCTAACTAGAGCGCGAGTGTTGTAAGCTGCTATATATAAAACTGATTGTATAGTCCTATAGCATATGTTTGTTCTCTTCATCTCATTATTTCGTTTAAGTGTCATGAGAACATAAAGTAGTTTGTGGAAGGGTAGACAAAAGAAAAATTCGTTATACAATATCTACATATAAGGTAAGGTATATACACTAAAATAACCACTATGGGTACTGTACTTAAATATATATAATAAATGCAATATCACTCACGCGTCAATAAGACTTTCTTAAAATCGGATTTTGCGGGGTAATCTGTTATGAATATTTGTACGTGGTAACAAATTATGATTCTCTTTTCGTTCTTAATTAAATTGAATGATAACTAAAGTTTGTTTATATTTCCTTAGTGAAAGGTTACAGACTTCTTGATATGTATATTTATATATTAGCTTGCATTATTTTCAGTTTAATCCACTATATCACTTTCTATAATTAAATCATTATTAAAACGTTATTATTTTAATTATCATTAAACTAATTCATGTGGATTAATTATATTTTTTCAGAGAATTGCAGAAAAGAGAAATACTTGAAATAAATAATCAAGTACACAAATAAACAATATAATGATAATATATTTGGAAGATAGTACTTGAAGAAATTATTTGGAATGACTACTTAAGAATGCTATACTATTTACATATAGTTTAAGTCTTTCGCTTACCTTAGAGACGGGCATTCTGTTTATGCACAAAAGCATATCCCACAGGCAGCAGTTGACTTCGAGCTCATCTGCAAATCAAATGAAATCAAGTTACATTTGGTTGGTGATTTCCTTCCCAGATGCGCAAGGGCGAAAATAAAATAACGGTGCGGTTTGAGTAAACATGCCATTCGAACCTCTGCAGAATAAATGACAGACGCATATAGACAAAAGTGATGCACCTAGGCTGGGCGCATGGCCCGACAGCATCCATAAAATACCTACCACTTAAACAAAACCTCCCAAAATGGAAACGTAACCTTTCACAAATTATTCAATGAACAATTTGTGGAAGGAATTTAACAAATATACGCGTACGTTGACGAGAGACAACATTCCAAAGTCCAAGTAGGCGTAATGTAGGCGGTAATGGAGTAATTCAAAGATTATAATCCCATGCAGTTGACAAGCATGTGCGACTTACCGTTAGCTTTGAATGCGTTCGTGTTGCAGGGTAGAGAATGCTGGTCTCTCTCCAAGTTCGGTTGCGACACCGGCTATATAAACACGGTCACGTGACGAGGTCCCGGCTTTGCGGACGGATACAAAGACGATATATGTTCCGCAATTCGTCGTTTATAGGGCAGGCCTGAACTTGATAGATAACGCTCCGACACTTGTATTTCAACATCCTGCAGAGAATGTACAAGGGTCGCCTTTATCGTTTGACATTATTGTCGCTGAGATTAACCGCCTGTTATGAGCGTATTTTCATCGTATAAATGATTAATTCAAATAAATATGGATGACAAATAATAATCATATTGCTTTGTCGACTTCTGTGTTTGTATGTTGATTATTTCTTAAGAGTAAGTGAGTTTGTTTTAACGCCGCTTCGGACAATATTATATCATGTTTATAACATATTATAAACCGCCTCCGTGGTGTAGTGGTTAGAGCGTCCGCCCGGAGAGCGGAAGGTCGCGGGTTCGATCCCCGACCGCGTCATACCAAAAGACGTTAAAATATGGTACTTGTTGGTCCCTGCCTGGCGCTCGGCATTAATGGGTACAACAAGGACTGGTCGGCTCGGAGTCAGTATAATGTGTCTGAGTGGGGTATTCATGCTTCACTGCGGCATGGTATCTCAGTGGGCTAGCACTATAAAACCAGCTTCAGTCTGGGCTAGTACAAGCAGCCGCACATGCACATACACACGCATGCACGTCGTCATATGAGCGAAATATTCTCAAGCACGACGTTAAACCCAATTTCACCTCACCTCACCTATAACATATTATAACAGTTATATCATGGCGTGTCTGTCCGTTGTGGCAAGAAACCTCTAAAGACGCAATCAACTTTAGTCCTTTGGGGAACAGCTTATACGACCCCGGGCCTCTATATGATACTGGACCCGACAATCTAGTGATTAATGTTGTGAACGACGATCCATGTTTTCGGGAAACGCTATCAACCAAGTCGCCGAGCCTGACCATCCGATCCACGCTTTCGGGAAACGCTATCAACCGTTGCCGAGCCTGGCCATCCGATCCACGCCTTCGGGAAACGCTACCAACCAAGTCGCCGGGCCTGACCATCCGATCCACGCTTTCGGGAAACGCTATCATTCAAGTCGCCTGACCATCCGATCCTCTTGGTCCGCTCTTGCAACAGGCAGAGACAGCAGGTTCCTCTACAGTACAGCGATCGTATCGCTCTGACTGTCTATGCTAAAGTTTGGGAGTTGCGATTCCCTTAGCTTTGTGGAACTAGAGTCTGGGGACCTATACGTGGCTACGGTGTTCTCACATTACGACCATCGTGCCATTTCTTGTATTGGCCCTCGGGGGCAGGCCCTATTCTCCTCGGGGAAATTCCGTTCAGAGGTAGCTCGGAGATTATGCAGTTGACGTGCAATCTCCGCGGCCTCCGTACGGAAATCGTTCGGAGCCCAAGCGGCTTCCGTGAGGAGGTTGCGCGGAGAAGGCGCAGTGACCGTGCAGCCGCCGTGCCGGTTTGCCCCGATGTCCACCGAAAAATCGTGCGGAAGTCTCGTGCTGCACGACCAGCGCGAGGCCTTCGCGCGATTCCGGTGAGGTGCAATGCCACCAACAACATGTCCTGGGCTACGGTGTTACGATTCTTTCGCATATTTGTATAACATCCCGTGAAACAAAATCGTAGAGTCCGCGGAGCCCGTGAATCCGTACGAAAATTTCACGGCCGCCTCCTGTCTCCACACGGAGGCCCCATGGAAAAGTGAGTGAGTGAGTATGGTTTTACGCCGCGATAGTCCAGCAATATCACGGCAGTGAACACCAGAATTGGGGTTCAAACATTGTACCCATGTGAGGAATCCAACGGTCTTCAGCGTGACGAACCATTAGGCTACCCCAGTCCCCGCATGGAAAAGGGGATACGGACAGGATACGGGCTCCGTAGACCAATCGCAGTGCAAATTCGAACTAAAATTTTAGACATCGGGGATCTGGTCAGATAAAAGGTCGTTCTGACCTGACCCCAAATCGCGTGGCTTCAGGTCTTTCTATAGCGGTAGCGAGAAAACTTTGAGATAGAATACATTCATTTTTCACACCCCACCCAGAGACATTCTGTGCTTATAAGTATAGTGAGGAAACAGTTGGCGATACCTGTAAGACTTGTCCTGATTACCCCCGATAGCAAAGGTGTGTTGGGCCAATGTTGGTATATGGTTGGTTGGTTGGCCAACAGTTTGACAACATTGGCCCAACATTATCTTAATGACTTAAAAGTAGCGGTGGCTTTTGACACGTTGGTCTAACAGTGGGCCAACATTTGAAAAACTCAGCCTATTTTCCCTGATCTAACATCTATTTCACAAAGTTGGGCCACCGTTGGCCCAACATTGTGAATAAAAGAGTGAGCACACGGCCATTTTTAGCCATGTTTTCTTATAAAGATTTTGATGAAAGTTGAAATAATTACACAGACAAAAAAAAAGAATCCATTTCCCTGTCTTTCAACTATGATGCAGTGAATTTTACAGCGTTGTTTTCTCCAAATTGAATACCAAACTTGTCATCATTGATAGCTTTACCTGATATTCAAAGAGCAGACGACACTACATTTCTTGAGGCCTTCAACTGGTAAATATGCATTGTTATTTCTGTGATACTTAATTGCGAATATATTGTGAAACAATTGGTTTAAATCATCATTTAGGCTAAAGAAACTGACACATACTGTATTGAAAGGCAATTGTTTGAGTAGATAAAAGATTTAATTGACTGTTTTCTTTAGGTAGCCTGTTTTAACCATTTTGATAAATGTCAATCATTTTAAATTATTTAAATTTATTGTGTTTACTTTATTAACTTTATGTGTTTGTCAGTTACACTCCTGTTTACATATACAACTCTCTCTTTTATTCATCTTTACAACCAATAATTGCTAAACATCATCAAATCAGATATATGTGTCACAGTTATAGTAGTTACACGTCATATCCAAATAAAACATTGTTTGAACAGCATTCTAGAAGTTGGTGAGTCAAAAATGAAACATACAACTCTATGGATGACAACTTCTTGTTTATTGTATAGAGCGACGTTTCGATGTAGATTCTTACACCGTTATCAAGCTAAAAGTGACTACAACCAAATGATGAGAAGTATATATACATGTACATAGTATGTTTTGTCAAATAAACATAATTGGGAGCGGCCAGTTGGGGCCTAAGAACAACAAATGGATCTAGTGATGAAACCAATTAACAAGGAAGGGAGGGGGAGGGAGGGGTGGAATGTTAGGTTGTAACAACCTGATATGGGGATTTGATACAGTCTATAGTTTGATTAGTTCTTCAGATCCCAATGGTATGTAGTATCCTTGGTCTCTATTGATCAAAGGTTTGTGGCGGCTGATTTTGATGGCTTCCAAAAGTTTTCTTTTTGTGAAGTCCTGATTCTTGGTGGATAAGATTTCGAATTTGTCAAACCAGCCCCCTAAAACTAAGTGTGGCGTCATCTCAACCCTGATCAAGCACGCTAAGAACATTTGCTCCAGCAGCCATGACCTAGAACATGAGCGGAACCACCTACAACATGTCTTCACGAGCCTCAACCAGTAACCCACCAACTCATAGTCTGTTTGATTTCATTTGAGACCAATGAATTGCTCACTAACACAAAATCTAATAATATACTTCTCATCATTTGGTTTAAGCTTGATAACAGTGTAAGAATCTACATCCGAACGTCACTCTGTGCAATAAACAAGAAGTTTTCAATAATTAAGCTGTATGTTTCAAATAAAACATAAGGTCAAATACTATGTCCTTTTACGATAGTTCTCATGTCTAAAATTATGATATCTGACAGTTTCATGAAATTTTTGGGTTGTTTTTTTCTTCAGGAGCAGTTCGAAAAACCTGTAGAGGCGACAGCCAAATGACCTAAGACAAGAATATTTTTAAGAAATACAATAATGTTCAAGTCATTTCAAAAGGGGGAGGGGGGGGTGTTCGAACCCCCCTTCCCCTCCCCCCCTCTCTCTCTTCTGGATCCGCCAATGGCCCCTCTTATTGAATAACTCCCCAAGATAGTTTCATATTACTTCACTTGAAGTAACAATAAGATTCTTTATCTATCCAGGACTCCCCACGGGTAGACAAACAGTAGGTGTTGGGGACCTATTCTGTCCCAGTCTGAGCGGGGAATATGATTAATTGTTTTGCACGTTTTAGTGCGGATGCAATGCAGGTGCGTTAAGAGCAACTTGATACGTCAGTGTTCCATTACACCTAATCGTGTCATTATACCAGGATACATCTAAACATGTACAGCCGACGTAGGATGACAAGGAAAGGATTGTGCAATACTCAAAAACATTTATCCATGGGAAGTTAGTCCTTCAAACTTCTGACAACTGAATTCTCAATGTGGGCCCATCGTGTGTGTGTGTGTGTGTGTGTGTGTGTGTGTGTGTGTGTGTGTGTGTGTGTGTGTGTGTGTGTGTGTGTGTGTGTGTGTGTGTGTGTGTGTGTGTGTGTGTGTTCTATCTTTCTATCAGTAAACTCGACGATAGTGGTACTTTGTGGAAAACTTATGTCTTTACTACGAGCTCATGAATGTAGACTTCTGCTAAAAACCTAGAGCGAATGGTTTTATCACCCAGCGTTGACACCCTCTCCACATAACTCCTCCCCTCCATACACGAGCCCCTTACGCCATCCGAGTTAGAATTGATCTTCAGTAACCCATGCTTGTCGTAAGAGGCGACTAACGGGATCGGGTGGTCAGGCTCGCTGACTTGGCTGACACATGTCATCGTATCCCAATTCCGTAGATCGATGCTCACGTTGATGATCATTGGGTTGTCTGGTCCAGACTCGATTATTTACAGATCGCCGCCATATAGTTGGAATACAGTGGACTCCCTTTAAACCGACATCGCTCGGGACCAGTGAAAAATGTCGGTTTAGAGGAATTTTTTAGAAACTCTATCGAAAATTAACCACACACAGACAAAATTAAACACAGTGAAATGTATGTTTATATCAGTGCCTCTTCATTAACAAATATACAAGTAATTAGCAAGTAATTAAAAG